AATTTATTGCAACTATATACACTGATGGAGTTTCAATGGGGAGACCAGGTGGCCCAAAAGAGAAATGCAAATATAACATTGTACGAAAATCCTCTGTGACATATGGCAATTCAATTGAACCTTATTTACATATTCATGTCGGCAGGCAAACAAATGTAAATTGTATTGGCATACGACGAAATAAAGTACAGTCAAGTCCTTATTCAACTCGGAATGAAAACTGAATATGAGTAAGAGGGTTAACTTTAATAAAATCTGATCTACTTATGTTCGTACATATCTTCCTTCTATTTAAATTACATTTTATTTGCCTCCATAAAAAAAGAACAAATATTCTTGAGCAAACTTTTTTATTTAAAAGAAAGCCAAAAAAAAATTAGATTGAGAAGATTAACAGATTTGACCACAACTTGTGGGTCAAAAAGTTATGCACATTTTCATGTTTTCGTTTGGAAAAGTTTCTTGCCTAACGAGTCTTAGTTACGAAAGTACCTCAGAAAGTTTAACCAACATTTTATTACATTAGCTCATATGCAAACATGATAATGGTTAATCCATCAAGCCGGTAACAGCGAAAGTATTATTAATCCCTATAACAGCCAACCAAAAGACGCCATTCTGTACAGGTATAAGAGGGAAGATATTTACCTTTTCCCTGCCCGCTGACATTTTATTGGACATGAAACTTCTTTACCTTTCCTCCTTATCTCCCTGGGATTTCCATATCCATTTGCCATCAGCAGGATGTACTTAGGGACACGCGCTGTCACTTGACATACCTGTCCCGCGTGTAATTATACTCATTCCTGAGCTCAGTTTTTAGACGGGTATTCAGTATCCATTGCCATCCGAGAACCACGTACTCGTGCTAATTATAAGACTGGGGCTCGTTGGCTTAAGATGGCTTACATCTTAAATGAATGGGATTAGCCGCCAGCATCTTGTGGGTCTCGTTTTCTAATCGATTTCCGCGAAGGTTGCGTTATCGAAATGCCAAGATATAGATAGGAACGAACTTGATGTAGGTACAGGCCACGAATGTATTCATCGATTATGTGACAACATTTGGGGCTTTTATTTAACGGCAATGTTCTCTGGGCTTTCCTTTGCCCTTCGGTTCCCTTTGTTTGTAATCTATTGAACATTCCACGCTATTTTCTATTCTATTTGCCATTATGTAAAATAGTCGTAGAAACGCCAGACAGGTGGGGATATTGAAAGAGGCCCAGCTAATGGTCATTAGCTCACATGTTTGCTTTGCCAGTCGGTGGCGATTCAACTTTGGCAGTGACTTGTTTGCTTAGTTGGCCGGCAAGAGTAGTTAAACGGAAGGCTGTTTAATATTGGAGGGGTGTGCTTGAACAATCCGAGCTGGCATAGTGGCTAATTTAATGGCTTTCGATTGTCTGGAATAAGCTTTGAGTCACTGGCGAAGTTTCTTGATTGTTTTTCTTTATTTTTTAGTAAAAAGGTGGGGTGTTTCTTTATTTGTTGATCAATATTTGAAGATAGCGTGGTTGGGGAATAGATCAATCATTTGCATTCGTGGAAATGCTGTTTTATTTGTTCTAACACATGTTTTTGCCATATAGAAATACAACATTGTTACGAAATTAACTTTGGCACAGAAAATTTAAAAATCGTAGTTATTTTTGATTTATTCCGATTGACAGAATGAAATTTTAGATAATAATTTTAAAACAGTTTTTTCAGTTTTTTCTTTATTTTTAGCATATAATAAATAATTATAAAAATTGTTGGTTAAGTAATCGGATAAATCCTGTAGAGGTTTGAGAACTTTTTTTTTGGCAGTTGGCAAAAAAGTGGCACAGAAAAGTGAGAGGATTTTTTCAGAAATAGTAAAAAAAACAATTCATGTATAACCAACAAAATGCAGCTTGTTCATTTGGGGACCTACTGACCCGCTTTATAACTTGGCACTGGCCGCAATCACAATACAGCTTGGTCTAACAAAAGCTTATCACAGCCAACAAACTGTATGCCATAAATGGCTTCATTCTGTTTCGATCAAAATTCAAATTGGCTTTTAAATCCTTTTAAGCTGGAGACTGAGGGAGATAAGTCCGAAGGAGTCGAAGAGAATCTAAGTCTAACAACTAGGGGGTGCAAAGAATAAGGTACTTACCACACTGAAAAGATGCGGGGGAGGCGAAGTGAGGTTGAAGAAGGTGGATGAGAAAGCCCTCGATGAGGGGGCGTTACTTGGGCTCTGCCTACTGACCCAGTTACCGTTAGTTACTGTTACAGTTACAGTTGCTTTTGTGACCTCTTAAATGCTCGTTTACGTTTGGTTTTCGGTTATCTTCAGGTTGGTTATTCCGTTTTTAAAATAGATGGGTTCACATTGGCAGTGTTTGGTTGTAGAAATATACGGAGATTGATTGATTTATTTTTAAATTCCTTATCGATTTACTCTTAGCGGGTTTGCTTATTAGCACAAGGTAAAAACGAGGTTTTTTATTAAAATTGGATTAAAGCAAATTTAAGATTATGAGTTGAATATATATTTATGACTTAAATGCACTTTTACAGCGATTAACTAATTTTCACACATTATTCGTTTAAGGTGGTTTAACAATTGATTTCGTTTTGCTGTTTTAATTGGCTTGGTTTTTGATTTGGTTTTGAGGTTTTCTTGTGTTATTTGCTATTTCTTCTTATTATTTTTTTTTATTTTGGATTTTTCCGTTTTGCAGTTGTTGGCTGCACAACGTGTGGAAAGCGAAGGAAAGCGAGAAAAACACGTCCGCACTGGGCGAAGAGCCAGGAGAACCTGAAAATCAGTACCCAACGAGCGGGCGAATTTCAAATCACCCCCGCTCTCTTCCTCTTCGGCCGATTGCTTTCGCTCTCGCGCTTTTCACCCGCTCTCTCTTTCTCGCTTTCTCTGAGCGCCGCCGCCTTTGATGTCCTGCCTGTGACATTTACAATGTCAGCCTCCAAGCGTGGATGCCAATTCGCCGCGGCTAAAGAAGAGAAAAAGAGCGGGAAAAAGCGGTGGCTTGGGAAAACTAATTTGTTTTCGGCTTTATTTTTTCGCCGGGAAACTCCTGTGGGCCCGAAAACGCTCTTTTGATTTGGCATTTTGTCGTGTTGGGCTTTTCCGACTGTCATATGTTAGCCACTCATCTACGATTTCGAGCGCAGGGCATTTAAGTTTCCTGTAATTAAATATAATTTTCTTTTTCGCTTAGAAAATACTTGCAAAAATATTGGTATAAATTTAACTTTTATTAAATGTTGAACCACTCTTTCAAAATATAACATACAAAATATTTCGAATATAATATAATATTCCGAATCATTCTAGAAATGTTGTTAACTTAATTAATTGTTAATTTAATCAAATCATTGTTTTACATTTTCCGTTCATATTAAAGTTTGAGCCGTTTTCTTGAAATATAAACATCATGCACATACATATGTACACCCAGAAAAAAAAATGACCTAAAATGTCAAAAAATGGCCTAGAATTTAGGTAAAATTGGCCTAAAACTGGAGCTAAGTCCTTAAATGGCCTAAAATTTAGGATTGTATGACCTAAAATGTTAGGCCATTAATGGCCTAAAATGGGGTAATTTTTGGCCTAGATTTTAGGTAATTGGCTGCCTTAAAATATGAGAAAACCCCTATCAAAAATTTTAGGCTTTCTTTGGCCTAAAAATTTGTACTGAAAAATGTTTCATATTATAAAGTAAATACAGAGAAATTTATAGCTAACTCGAGGTCAATGTCGGCTTAGTCTTCAAGAAGTCGTCATTATTCCGACACACAAAAACGAGCGAAGAGGCTTCACTGTTCAGCAGTGAAATCGCTGTTTTATTCAACGATGGAAGTGGGTTACCATGCAAGCCGCGCTATAACTGGTTGGGAATTATAGCGTCGCTAGAACGGTATCAGAGTTCCGTGCAAATTTATTAAGGTAAAATGCATTAATTTTAAGGCCCACGATGACCTAAAATATAAGGCTATACGGGACCTAAATAGTAGGGCAAATATACCAAAAATTTAAATTTTTAGGCAGTACATGACCTAAAAAGGAACTTTTAGTCCATTTAAAATGTTTTAGGCTATGCATGACCTAAAATGTTGTCCATCATTTTTCTGGGTGTACTACACTTATTTTATATTTTGGGAATTTTTAAGTTTAATAAAATCAATGCTTTAAATTTTTCTTTCGTTTTAAAGTTTGAGTAGTTACAAACAGCTTGTATGTATTACCTTTCTTTTAAGGTTTGGGAACTTTAAAACTGTTTTCTATTAAACCGAAACAATTAAAAGCTTTCCCCTCACAACCCACTCATGTGTGAGCTATGATTTCGTGAAAAGTTTGCGCTCTTCGATTCCGACACTGAAAAAAATATTTGCTTCGTAAAATTTAAAGTGTCATTAATAACTTTCACTAACTGAATAGTTTTTAGCTTAAAAAGTTAAAGTTACAACAATTTGATAAGAATTTAAAAAATCTTTATTTTTGAAACTTGAAATTAAGTTTGATTTAAAATTTTTCTTAAGCTTTGAAAGATTTTCTGTAGTGTTCGAATTCCACCCCAAAAAGCAGGAAATAATAGAGGAAATAGGATTCCAATAGGAGGCCTATCACGATAGGGTTGAGTGGGTGGCCAAAGCACCCTTTTCGCGGCCATCAGGTGGTGGTGGTGGCCATGGCGGGCTCATGGGTTTGTCATTACGGGCGCGTGCCTTTTGGCCAGCGAATTGAGCCACGGCTATGGACTGATAAGTGGCTATTCACCGATGTCCCTCTTCTGACCGCCAAGTGAAAGGCAATTGCTTTATAATTCAATTGCTGACGTCGTCCCTCTTCGAAGATCAAAGAGCTTCCCTAATTATCCGGCTGGGCTCCACTTGATTGATAGTCTGTTTTGGCTTTTGCTTGGTGGTGCACTTATTTATTTTTGGTGGTTAACTGGTTACTGGGTGCTCTGTGTGCTACTTGGCTAACTTATGGATTAGGTTAATTAGGTGAAAAAGTGCGAGGAAGTGGGTGGTTGGGGATAGTCAACTAGATGATGGGTTTGCTGGCGATGTGGTCTCTCACGGTAGAGGAATTGATCGTGTTCCTGCTGGCAGGGATCCAAACTGGCAGTCGGCGTGGGCGGTGGAATAAATCTCTCCTCGTGGGGAACCTCCTCCTCGGGAAAATGGTGATACTGAGCTTGCGGCTTGGGATCTCTTTCCCTTAGAAACTGCCGTTCCATTGATTCCTCTGGATTTCGTGGATACTGAGGCTTTCTTTTAATAGGAACTGGTGCAAAACTTCTCATATTTCTCTCAGGTCCTACGGTCCTTGGCCTTAAACCCTGACTCCGTTCAAGCAAGCCAACTGGGTTCACGTCCCAATATCTTTGTGGCTGATTGGGTGTTCGCGAAGGATACTGACCAACTTCATCGCTGCAATCCAGGCCCCTCACAATGTTGTTCATGTAGATCGAGGGCGGTATACGTTTCCGGTACTTGGGCCTGGGTCTGGGCACTATTTGTTTATTGGACACAAAGTAGTCCCTCGGCTGAGGTCCCAACGGAGCCATTCGTTGAAGTGGCTTGGCAAAGTTACCCTCATACAGAATGGGTTCTACATAGTTTTTCACGGGCTTACGGAAACGATATGCTGGAGGAGGTCTTGGACGAGCTGCTGGAAATTAAATAAAATATTTATTAGTATAAAATATTACCTCATTTACAAATGTATATGAATAATCTTATTAATAGCTTTAAGTATTCGAAAAATGTATTGGAACTAAGTAGGTAATGGAATACAAATATTTTCTACTTATTTTGAAAAAAGTATAAAATAATAATGGTATTCAAAATATATGTTCAATTACTTTGATAATATTAATAATATAGGTTTACAAATTCAATAAGATTAATTTTACTTACAGGGCTCTTGTGTTGGCATAAATTGGGGACACAGATTAGTGTCCTGTTCGTCGGTGTCTTCACAAGGTTCTTCTGTGGTGGTGGCTACATTATTTTCAGAACCTTGAGGATCTGGTAAAATAAATCAAATAAATGTACTTTTATAGAAATATATTCAAAAAGTTCCCCTCTTTACCTTCGTCATCTTCACATCCTGAGAATTCCGGCACCTTGGTGGTTTCCACTTCATCTGCACAACTGTCTTCGGTGGTGGTTTCCGGTTCGGAAGTGGTTGTAGAAGCAGTCGTTGGGGGCACGATCGTAGTTGTGGTGCTATTTTCCGGTTTAAGCTTCAGTTCGGCAGCTTCGGTGGTCATACTTTGGATAACTTGGATAACCTCGCTGGGCTGGCTGACATTATCGAGTTTAATCTGCGGGGGATCTGGTACTTTGGGGGACTTTCCCCTCGAATTCTTTCTCCTGTCCCTCAGGGCTTTCAAACGTTTCAATTGGTTTTCGGTATAAGGTGATGGTGTTGGTGTAGTTGTCGTGGTACTTGTGGTTGTCGTTGTGGTTTGTGGTGTTGTCGTGGTTTCCGGTTCAGTTGTCGTTTCCGGTGGTTCTTCTGCGGTGCTGGTTTCCACTGGTGTCGTTGTTTCTTCTAAGGTTGTTGTTTCCAGAGTTGTTGTGGTGGTTGTTGTCGTTGTTGTTGTGGTGTTCGGTTTGAGCTTTGGAACTAATTTTCTTATTTTTATGATTTTTGAATTGGGTACTGCTTCTGTTGTGGAAACTATTGGATTGCTTGTGGTTGAATTTCCATTGCTGGGCAATCCTAACAGCACATTTTGTGTTACACCTTTATTAGCTTTACTTTTTGGATTGCATTTCTTGGTTTTCGGTTTTATAGTGGTGCTCGGTCTCTCAGTTATCAGGGAGAAATTGGCACACGGATCCTGTTTAAGCAGAGGTGTTCTTAGCAGAAGTAGTTTGACAAAGCATGGATGTTCGATGGGTAATCCTTCTTCGAAAGATGGTTCACAGGGGGGTAAGAAGTCCATGCAATCCTCTCTGCTCTCCTCGTAATCATCGAATATGTTGCTAAATTGCTCCTGCGAGCCGCTTTCGTCGCAACCTATGGATGCTGCTGGCAGAACGGATATATCCCTCTGATCCCGTCCATTGCTGGGATAACCCTCAGCCTCGCGTAGCATCATATCAAAAAGTTGCATTTCCAAAGGAGTACTACGAGTGGATGCGAGATGTCAGCCATTAAATTTTTTCCATAGCTCTATTAACAACTCACCCAAAAACTGAAGGTCCAAAAAATATTACCCATAGTAGCAGCAGCATCATCTTTATTCGGGTGTTTGGGTCGATGGTTTCCATGGAAATGTTGCCCCAACCCGATCGACATTTGGCTTTTGTTGAGTTCACGTATCTGTCGGATGCAGAACGCTGCGCTCTCACTTTCTGCCAATTGAGACATCGTTCTTTCCGATCTGTAAGTCACCCGCAAGACCACCCACCCGTCGCCCAAAAATAAAATCATAGCTTTGCGGTCAGCTTTCTCATTAGACTTTTCTGCCATCCGTCTGGGCGGCGTCTTTGCTTCTCTGTTCTTGTTTTCACTTTCGTTCTCTACGTGACCTCTGCTGAGCTCGGCATTTTTTGGCTTTTATTTACCGTTTCGTTCATTCTTCGTTTCAGTCTGGGATACTCTATATATGAAGGGGTTGTGATAATAATCCGATAAATTTAATCAATCCAAAAAAAAAATACCTAAAGAATTCGAATTTATGGTCCACTTATTATTTAGTTCAGAACAGAAAAGCATTTCACATTTAAAAATTTTTTCTTATTTTTATTTTATTACAGGGTATTTTATGTAGTCATCCCAATCTTCTGTTTGTCTGCCTTCGTTCTTGACGTGTATTTATACTCGTTACTCGTAGAGTAAAAGGGTATACTAGATTCGTGCAAAAGTATGTAACAGCTAGAAGGAAGCGTTTCCGACCCCATAAAGTATATATATTCTTGATCAGGGTCACTAGCCGAGTCGATCTAGCCATGTCCGTCTGTCCGTCTGTCCGTCTGTCCGTCTGTCCGTCTGTCTGTCTGTCTGTCTGTCTGTCTGTCTGTCTGTCCGTCTGTATGAACGCTGAGATCTCAGAAACTACAAAAGCTAGAAGGTTGAGATTTCCCACACATATTCTTTGGCTTCCTACGCAGCGCAAGTTTATTTTAGCCGAGCGCCACGCCCCCTCTAACGCCCACAATCGCCCACTAACGATTTTAAAATGGGTACTGCGCCCACATCTTCAAAGATTTCCGAGAAGTATAAATGCAATTTTGTTGTGTATATTTATACCTATCGAAATGTAGAAGACATTTTTCAAATCGGACCATTCATTAAAAAGTTATACGCAATCAAAAATTATATATCTATCTCCCTCGCACTCCCTTTAGCTGAGTTACGATTATTAGTCGGGACACCAACCCGACACAGCGTTCGCACTCCCTTTAGCTGAGTGACGGGTATTAGATAGTCGGGACAACAACCCGACTATAGCGTTCTCTCTTGTTTTTATTTGCTTAATTTATTTAATTTATTATTGTTACCATTTGATCCCACGTCTCGTTTGCCTTGTTTCCGTTTTATGCTAATTACTTTTATTGTCGCTTTCGCGTGGGCGCTAAACAGAAATATGGCTAAAATGGGGGGTGGGAGGTGGAGGATTGCGGGCTCCATGGGGTCTACCACCGAGTAATTAATACCCATCGAATGCTTGTGGTTTTTTCTCGAAGCAAAAGCAATTGGCTGCAATTCTTGGTTCGTTTGGCATTCAGAAAACATCTGAACAATTAGAAAAACAGCTGCTAAGTGTCTTGCTTTTGGATGGCGGCGCTATACTATAAAGCACAAAAACCTATAGAACGCTGTGTACTCTAGATCAGAGTGACTAATTACCTATTGTTTCCCGAGTTCTCTCTCGGATTTTCTCTATTGAATTTTCACTATTGAATTACCATTTGTTTAAGCAGTTCGTGACAATTGTTGGGTTAAAGTGTGGGTGGGAAAGTGTTGATAATGTTTGAGATGTAAACAAAACTTTCTCTTGCTGATGTAATTGTAAACAATTAAGGAAGTGATTTCTTTCAAAATATTTTAAATAAAAAGGGCCGAGTTCGGGTAAATAATATTAGCTACACTTACAACATATTTACCACTGACAAACATTTCCTTAAGGGAACACTTGAAATGACTGTCGGAAATCTGCCTTCTTTCCTTCCTCCCTAACTTTTGACCTTGTCTCTGTCACATTCCAAAATGTCAGCTGGTGAAAAATACGTGTTTGGGGAATGAGCTTAGGGCGACTGTTCGTCCTGTCATTACCAAATGGCATTCGCGTGTAATTTGTTTTGTCTTTCTGGAGGAATCTTCACGATTTCCCCATCTGCTTCATGTACAAATCTTTGCTCGCTGAAGGCGATGTTCTCCATCAATATTTGCCCGCCAGCCAAATATTTTCCAATCAAATAGACTCCAGTTTACAAAGCAAATATTGTGTTTAAGTCGCATATTAAATGGAAAACGCTTGGCTGGAATCTCGAAAAGGTTGGCCCTTTTCCCTGTTATCTGTGGTATCCTTGTTATGCGGAACATGCAACAGTTTTTCGGGACTCGGCACGCAACACTCGCTGAATAATGTTGACAGAAGCGTATCAATGTCACAGTTGGTAAGGGGAAGTGTGTGAGGTCATGGGACATGGGCCATGGCAGATGGCTCAAATGGCTTAAAGGCGACAGAATAACACACCAATAAAGTACAGTGTAAGCTCCTTAGCCTGAACTTGTCCTAATGTGCCTTGAACTTTTTACTTTTGGGAATAAATATTATTTATTATTTCGTTCATTTATTTTTAAATATTTTTATTAAAATTAATTTCTTCCAATATTCAGTTGTTGTTATTATACTTCCATACCTATTATCATTATTAGAAATTATTAGTTTATGTTGTTTATTTTTATTTAGTGTCCGCGATACATATTAGACTTTTGCAGTAGATATTTGGTTATAATAGACTATTTTGAATACTAAGTTTCTTGTTGCTAATAAGAAATCACGATTTTACCATTGTGTTATTTTATCTAATTATAGTTAGCTCATCTGCACACTTTGTTTTTGCTAAGTTCTACTGTTCGTTGAAGAACCCTCGAAACCAAAGCTCAACAGAGTTAACCCGGGTCTTTCTTTGGGGTTAGGTGAGGTTTCGGGCTCTGTCTCGTGCTAAGCAACGTCGCGTGGACATCGTGAGCAGTCAATTTAACAATTGATAAAACCAGTTATCTAACACTTGAGGTTGGCGTCGTCACTTCGGTTTGGTCGGGTTTGAAGCTGTTGAAACGGCCTCAAATGGGACACTGACATTGATATTGGCGATCAATGTAACCGACCGAAAGTTGATAAGAGTTTGCCCATTTGTCATTGGCCAAGTCGGCTATAATAACGTGATGAATCGAATTTTTTTATAGCGGCAGTACGTTAATTGCTTAAATGTTTGCATGGCTGCACATCACTTTTGTGTACCTGGCGAAAACTTAATTAAATTTGTATTATAAATAACTGTTGCGTTTTGCAAGGACACCTGTGTGTGGAACTTAATTAGTTGGGTCTGTCACAAGAAACTCAAATATTGGATACAATCTTAAGAGTTTGTACTTCAGAAATTGTTCATTGCAAATATTTTCGAGGATATTTGTGTAAATAAAAGCACTTCAGTTCTTTCGATTTACAAAATGTGTTATTATATCTTGAGTATTTTTGAATTAGGCTTAGCCTCTCTACCGAGAAAAACACCTTGAAAAAATGTATGCATTTTAAGTTTAAAGCCCCTTTATCTTTAACGAGCGGACGATACCTTACACTACCTACACAGTATTTTTATACCCGTTACTCGTAGAGTAAAAGGGTATACTAGATTCGTGCAAAAGTATGTAACAGCTAAAAGGAAGCGTTTCCGACCCCGTAAAGTATATATATTCTTGATCAGGGTTACTAGCCGAGTCGATCTAGCCATGTCCGTCTGTCCGTCTGTCCGTCTGTCTGTCTGTCCGTCTGTATGAACGCTGAGATCTCAGAAACTACAAAAGCTAGAAGGTTGAGATTTCCCACACATATTCTTTGGCTTCCTACGCAGCGCAAGTTTATTTTAGCCGAGCGCCACGCCCCCTCTAACGCCCACAATCGCCCACTAACGATTTTAAAATGGGTCCTGCGCCCACATCTTTAAAGATTTCCGAGAAGTATAAATGCAATTTTGTTGTGTATATTTATACCTATCGAAATGTAGAAGACATTTTTCAAATCGGACCATTCATTAAAAAGTTATACGCAATCAAAAATTATATATCTATCTCCCTCGCACTCCCTTTAGCTGAGTTACGATTATTAGTCGGGACACCAACCCGACACAGCGTTCGCACTCCCTTTAGCTGAGTGACGGGTATTAGATAGTCGGGACAACAACCCGACTATAGCGTTCTCTCTTGTTTTTTAATTCAGACCTGTAGACATTATTTTAAATAAAAGCCAACTATAATTATGATTATGTTATTAAATACTCGTAAATAAATTAAAAATTTATATTTTTAATTTTTTTTTTTAAACAAATATTACATCTACTTTACACACATTCAACCAATTTTACAGACACTCGCATGCATTTGCCTTCCACGCAGCTAAGTTCCAACTCACTTTTTATCCAAGTTCTCCACCATAAATTAAGAAATCGCGGCAAAAACGCGTCGAAATCGCGTATTATCATCAAAAGCGATATTAGTCGCTCCAAAGTACCAAGTAAGTGATGTATCCATCCAATATTTGAAATTGTAATTGTAAATTTATAAAAACAAATTTCTGAAACAGGGCTGTATGGAAAAGCTCAAAATATTCTCAATAATCCCATTTTATGTAGCCCACAATTAAAGATAAATTCAGCTTTATTTTTATGTGAAACTTTTTATTTCATTTCAGTTTTTGTATTTTTTTTGGTTTGTTTTGTATGTTTATATACTTATTAAAATTGTTTTTGTTTTGTTTTTTATTTTTATTTTTCTTTTTTGTTGCTGTGTGTTAGCGTCTGCTTTTCTGTTGTTCTTTGTGTGTGTGTCCGTGTTTTTTTTGTGGTTTTTCCGTTTTGCTAAATGAAGTTTTGCGATTTTTTTGAGATTTTTTCTTTGCGACGGTACTAATTACTATATAGTAATTAAATAGATAGATGCATGTATGCGCTTGTGTGTGTCTGTGTGTGTATGTTGTATGCATGTGAGTATGTGTGTGAGCGGGTGAGTTTGGCCTTTAGCTAAGCCTTAGCTTTCTGATCGTTTTCTATCGTTCTGCTTATCAATTCGTTCTTTTTGCTTATCATTTCAATAACATTTGTTAGGAATGGAAAAAAATTACAAGCCATAAAGGTAGAAAAAAACTTTACAAATTACATTTTCGAAGAGCACGAGGAGAGGGGGAGAGAAAGTGATACTGGAGATGGACACGGGGCATGAAGAAAGACGGCGGAGATGGAGATGGCTGTGTGTCCCGTCTATTTACAAAAGTATTTATCCTCGAACCGCTGACAATAGTCGCAGATCAGCTGGCAGCACCGTCCATTGTTGAAGCGACATCGGCACTTTTCCACCTGCTTGACCACCTGGGTGGTGTAGCCACGCCCACAGCACAGGGTCCCACAGTTGTCCGGATGCAGGCACTGGCGATCCTTGGTGACCGCGCAGTAGGAGGGCGAGGTCTCCAGATAGTACAGAGTCGTGTATTGCGATTGTTGGGGCTGTAAAAGAGAGATTTTTCAAGATTTTTAGTGGGTATTTTAAGGGGTGCTTATAAAAAGAAACTTCCAATAAATCGAACTTAAAGTTAAGTCTATTTTTAATCATGATACACCCAAAAAGAAATCCCTAGTTTAATCCTTAATCAAATAAAAACACCTCTTAACGAGGTAAAAAACTAGTGACGACCGCACCTTCAACATACAAAAGTTCTGATATCAGCATTTGTGACGAAAAATTATTACACTCGTCATTAAATAGACTTTCTAATCTTTTCTCATTCGGCCCGCCCTAGCAAACTATTCCAGCCTTTTTCCCCTTACAGGCATTTTCTATTGCAGCGTGACGAATGAGAAAAGATTAGAAAGTCTATTTAATGACGAGTGTAATAATTTTTCGTCACAAATGCTGATATCAGAACTTTTGTATGTTGAAGGTGCGGTCGTCACTAGTTTTTTACCTCGTTAAGAGGTGTTTTTATTTGATATCAGAAGTTTTTGTTTGTTTACATTTGCTCTCATAGGAGCTAATATATACATTTAAATTTAAATTGGTCAATCATAATTTGTAAGCTATTGTATTTAAACCAATTAAGTTAAAAAGGCGTTTAAGTATTTCAAAATACCTTTTAAACGAGGTATAGCACATGTCGGTACCTTTAGTAGTGTAGAACTTACAAACTAACGAAATTTAGCTATTTTTAGCTTTTTCCCGCTAAAGTAGCGGCTTTTTCCAAAAGTCGTAGAACAAAAGATTCCTATATGGAAGTCTTAAGTGCAAATTTACTGATTCCATGACCCTAAAATACAGTTCGGATACCCTCCCACAAAATTCAATACTCAGGGAGCGTTAATTGTTCGAGCTGGCAACAGTGGCTATTTTCGTATAAAAATAACTTTTAAACGTGACTTTTTACAGTAATGTGTTATATACCAAAATTTAAGGAATCTCAAGGGCTACACAGTTTAAGGTTTTAAAGAAAATCGTTAGAGCCGTTTTTGAGAAAAATAAAAAAAGCTAAAAAAAAGGTTTAAAAAATTGTCTTTTGTTCATATTTTTTAAACTATTACATTTACACAAATTGCATATAGAAGGCGTTTATAGCATTTCAAAATACCTTTCAAACGAGATGCAGCACAAGTCTGTAGCTTTAGTAGTATAGAAGTTACGGCTTTGCAAATTTTAGCTATTTATAGCTGTTTTCCCGCTAAACTAGCGAGTTTTTCCAAAAGTGGTAGAAGAAAAGTTTTTTATATCGATGTGATGAACGTCATATCAAATTTTCAAAACTTAAAAAATCATTTGATTTTATTTCAAATCATTTGAATTGATTTGATTTGATTTGAATCATGATTTGATTGATTTGATTTGATTTGAATCATGATTTGATTGATTTGATTTGATTTGAATCATGATTTGAAATCAAATGAATCATGATTTGAAATCAAATGATTTGAAATCAAATCAAATCAATGATTCAATGATTTCAAATCATGATTCAAATCAAATCAATTCAATGATTTCAAATCATGATTCAAATCAAATCAAATTTGATTTTATTTCAAATCATTTGAATTGATTTGATTTGATTTGAATCATGATTTGAAATCAAATGAATCATGATTTGAAATCAAATGATTTGAAATCAAATCAATGATTCAATGATTTCAAATCATAATTCAAATCAAATCAAATTTGATTTCAAATCATGATTCAAATCAAATTCAAATGATTTGAAATAAAATCAAATGATTTGAATCATGATTCAAATATTGTTGTTCATATTTTTTTAACTATTACATTTACACAAATTGCATATAGAAGGCGTTTATAGCATTTCAAAATACCTTTCAAACGAGATGCAGCACAAGTCTGTAGCTTTAGTAGTATAGAAGTTACGGCTTTCCAAATTTTAGCTATTTATAGCTGTTTTCCCGCTAAACTAGCGAGTTTTTCCAAAAGTGGTAGAAGAAAAGTTTTTTATATCGATGTGATGAACGTCATATCAAATTTTCAAAACTTAAAAAATCATTTGATTTTATTTCAAATCATTTGAATTGATTTGATTTGATTTGAATCATGATTTGATTGATTTGATTTGATTTGAATCATGATTTGAAATCAAATGAATCATGATTTGAAATCAAATGATTTGAAATCAAATCAAATCAATGATTCAATGATTTCAAATCATGATTCAAATCAAATCAATTCAATGATTTCAAATCATGATTCAAATCAAATCAAATTTGATTTTATTTTAAATCATTTGAATTGATTTGATTTGATTTGAATCATGATTTGAAATCAAATGAATCATGATTTGAAATCAAATGATTTGAAATCAAATCAAATCAATGATTCAATGATTTCAAATCATAATTCAAATCAAATCAAATTTCATATCATGATTCAAATAAAATCAAATTCAAATCATGATTCAAATCAATTGAATTTGATTTGAATTGATTTGATCTCAAATCATTTGATTTATTTGAATCATGATTCAAATCATTTGATTTTATTTCAAATCATTTGAATTTGATTTGAATCATGATTTGAAATCAAATGAATCAATCAAATCATGATTCATTTGATTTAAAATCATGATTCAAATAAAATCAAATTCAAATCATGATTCAAATCAATTGAATTTGATTTGAATTTGAATGATTTGAATCATTTGATTTCAAATCATGATTCAAATCAAATTCAAATGATTTGAAATCAAATCAATTCAAATCAAATCAATTCAATTGATTTGAATCATGATTTGAAATCAAATTTGAATCATGATTCAAATCATTTGATTTTATTTCAAATCATTTGAATTGATTTGATTTGATTTGATTCATGATTTGAAATCAAATGATTCATTTTCATGATTTGAATCATGATTCAAATCAATTGAATTGATTTAATTTGAATTGATTTGATTTTAAATCATTTGATTGATTTGAATCATGATTCAAATCATTTGATTTTATTTCAAATCATTTGAATTTGATTTGAATCATGATTTGAAATCAAATGAATCAATCAAATCATGATTTGAAATCATTTGATTTAAAATCAAATAAAATCAAATTCAAATCATGATTCAAATCAATTGAATTTGATTTGAATTGATTTGATTTCAAATCATTTGAATTTGATTTGAATAATGATTTGAAATCATTGAATTGATTTGATTTGAATCATGATTTGAAATCATTGAATCATTGATTTGATTTGAATTGATTTGATTTCAAATCATTTGATTTCAAATCATGATTCATTTGATTTCAAATCATGATTCAAATCAAATCAATTCAAATCATTTGAATTTGATTTGAATCATGATTTGAAATCAAATGAATCAATCAAATCATGATTCATTTGATTTCAAATCATGATTCAAATAAAATCAAATTCAAATCATGATTCAAATCAATTGAATTTGATTTGAATTGATTCAAAATCATGAATCATGATTTGAAATCATTGAATCATGAATTAAATTAAATCAAATCAATTCAAATGATTTGAAATAAAATCAAATGATTTTGATTTTCAAATGAATCATGATTCAAATTTGATTTCAAATCATGATTCAAATCAATTGAATTGATTTGATTTGAATTGATTTGATTTCAAATCATTTTTGATTTGAATCATGATTCAAATCATGAAAATAAATCATTTGATTTCAAAATATGATTCAAATCAAATTCAAATCATGATTCAAATCATGATTCAAAATCAAATCAATTCAATTGATTTGAATCATGATTTGAAATCAAATTTGAATCATGATTCAAATCATTTGATTTTATTTTAAATCATTTGAATTGATTTGATTTGATTTGATTCATGATTCAATGATTTCAAATCATGATTCAAATCAAATCAAATCAAATTTGATTTCAAATCATTTGATTTTATTTCAAATCATTTGAATTGATTTGATTTGAATCATGATTTGAAATCAAATGAATCATGGTTTGAAATCAAATGATTTGAAATCAAATCAATGATTTCAAATCATAATTCAAATCAAATCAAATTTGATTTCAAATCATGATTCAAATTTGATTTCAAATCATGATTCAAATCAATTGAATTTTTCGTCACAAATGTTGATATCAGAACTTTTGTATGTTGAAGGTGCGATCGTCACTAGTTTTTTACCTCGTTAAGAGGTGTTTTTATTTGATATCAGAAGTTTTTGTTTGTTTACATTTGCTTTCATAGGAGCTAATATATACATTTAAATTAAAATTGGTCAATCATAATTTGTAAGCCATTGTATTTAAACAAATTAAGTTAAAAAGGCGTTTAAGTATTTCAAAATACCTTTTAAACGAGGTATAGCACATGTCGGTACCTTTAGTAGTGTAGAACTTACAAACTAACGAAATTTAGCTATTTTTAGCTTTTTCCCGCTAAAGTAGCGGCTTTTTCCAAAAGTCGTAGAACAAAAGATTCCTATATGGAACTCTTAAGTGCAAATTTACTGATTCCATGACCCTAAAATACAGTTCGGATACCCTCACACAAAATTCAATACCCAGGAAGCTTTAGTTGTTCGAGCTGGCAAAAGTGGCTATTTTCGTATAAAAATAACTTTTAAACGTGACTTTTTACAGTAATGTGTTATATACCAAAATTTAAGGAATCTCAAGGGCTATACAGTTTAAAGTTTTCAAGAAAATCGTTAGAGCCGTTTTTGAAAAAAATAAAAAAAAGCTAAAAAAAAAGTTTTAAAAAATTGTCTTTTGTTCATATCTTTTTAATTATTACATTTACACAAATTGCATATAGAAGGCGTTTATAGCTTTTAAAAATACCTTTCAAACAAGATGCAGCACAAGACTGTAGCTTTAGTAGTATAGAAGTTGCGGCTTTCCGAATTTTAGCTATTTATAGCTGTTTTCCCGCTAAACTAGCGAGTTTTTCCAAAAGTGGTAGAACAAAAGTTTTTTATATCGATGGGATGAACGTCATATTAAATTTTCAAAACTTAAGAAACATGTTTTGGACAAACTGACAAACTGACAAACTGACAAACTGACAAACTGACAAACTGACAAACTGACAAACTGACAAACTGACAAACAGAATTAAATTTTCATTTTGGGAAGAAGAAGGAAATCTTATTTTGGCTATAACTTTTGAACGGAGCGTCGGATTTTGACAAATGACCCCTCATTCGACGGGTATTTTCAAAAGGAATACAACTAAATCATTGCGAGGGGGCATTTATCCCCACCGGCCCCAACAGCTCCAAATTTCGAAATTTTCATTTTTTCACTTTCACCGCTCTCTCTCCCAAGCCAATTGATTTTCTTAAAGTCTTGGTATGCAATCCTTTAAGTTATTGCAATACATTTCGATTGGTGTATTACTCATTACGATCGGACTATCACAGCAGATTTTCAATTTTGCGGCTATATAATAGTAGTCGCCTTCGCACACTCTCCTGGTGCGCTTCGTCATTTCTATAACAATCCATTTATTTTAATTTTGTATAAACTCACTTTCTTGCGTCTCTGCTTTGGCTTTTTCATGCGACTCGAAGACACCTGGCGCATCGATCGCTGGTTGGGCGCCTTGCGTATGGCCTCGTTGTATTTCTGCCTCAAAAGCGTGGCGGTGGCATTGAAGTCGGCCATCTTCTTCCAGCAGGTCTTCATCGAACAGGAGCCGGAAACGCCGTGGCACTTGCACTTGTCCATCATCTGCGAGGAGACAGCCTCTATGCCGACCTGTGATTTAAGTTAAATTGTTAGTAAATTATTTTTTATATTTATATTATTTTTTTACCTCTGAGTCATGTCGCAATATCTCGCTGACCTCGTCTCCCTCGCCACCGCGTAAATCCAGAAAGCTTCGGGTCACCCGCTTGCCGTGCTTCAAATTGTCGTTGCATCCACCCCACTGAAAGTCCTGCGCTTCCCGATTGTGCTTCTTGGGTCCACAGCTGCACTTGGTCATCCTTCCCTCGGCACAGGCCCTGGCTATTGAATGGGTCATGGCGGCGGCCGTGAGGGCGTGAACGAAGGCCGTCTCCTTGTAGAGCTTCTTGAAGATATTCCGCTTGCCACGCGTCTCAATCGAGCAGTTCCATCGATCGTAGCGGAACTGCTCCTCACAGTGGGTGGTGGCCAGGCGACGGGCTTCGCTGAGGGTTCCCGGCAGTCCCGTCTCCTTGCGACACTGGTGGTTCTGCCGCCTCGTGGCCGGCATGTATCTGCAGGGTCCACCCACTTGTCCTTGCGACGTGAAAACCGCCATCACCGTGTGCTCCGAGATAAAGTGTTCGCTGAAGGTGAATAAATGAATACAGTTGGTTAGAAAAATCTATTAAAAATTTATACATTAATCTATATATTTATAGGGTAGTTGGAAAATGCCGATCCTGTCACAATTAGTGTAATCCCCGGCACTCCTTTTTTTTACCAAGCTAGCGACTTCTACCGCTGATTTAAGGAACCTCAGCATTCTACATGAATTTTACACACAAGTTTTGGTGCGCCATCTGGAGTGTCTTGGTAGAACTGTTCTGAACGGTTAAAATACCGATTCAACGTAAGTTTAAATTGAGCGGAGATGTCAAAGAAATCTCTTTCAATTAATGACGGTTGATTTTTCGTTATAATGTACGTAAGAGCGTAATAAATTAAAAGTTTTAAACTTGTAGCGTTAGAAATAACTTTTTATAAATCAATAATAATAATAATAAACAAGAAAGGAAGCTAGCTTCGGCCAGCCGAAGCTTATATACCCTTGCAGATCATTCCTATTAATTAACAAATCGCAAAAATGTTCAATTTTCTAATATTTCTCATTAATTTTCCGATCGTTCCTATGGCAGCTATATGATATAGTCGTCCGATTTTGATCCAATTAAAATTGAAATTCGGAAATATTTAAAAAGAGTCATATCCTAGAGTAGAAGATAATACAATAAAAACTTAAGAAGCTAGAATTTATTTCCTATTACTTTTCCATTAATTTTCCGATCGTTCCTATGGCAGCTATATGATATAGTAGTCCGATTTTTTAAATAATTAATTCGAAATTCAGAAATATTTAAAAAATAACATCCCCAAAAGTAGAAGGTAATATTTCAAAAAACACCGAAGCTAGAATTTTTTAAAGTTTTTTTTTTCCGATCCTTCCTATGGGAGCTATAAGATATAGTTGTCCGATCCGGTCGGCTCCGACATATATACTACCTGCAATAGAAAGAAGACTTTTGGGAAAGTTTTATCCCGATAGCTCAAAAACTGAGAGACTAGTTTGCGTAGAAACAGACAGACGGACAGACGAACAGACGGACAGACGGACAGACGGACGGACAGACGGACAGACGGACAGACGGACATAGCTAGATCGACTCGTCTTGTGATGCTGATCAAGAATATATATACTTTATGGGGTCGGAAACGTCTCCTTCACTGCGTTGCAAACTTCTGACTGAAATCATAATACCCTCTGCAAGGGTATAATATGAAGAAATTAATTAAGACATAAACACTGGTCATTCCATTGTCCATATATGTTTCCTACTTCCAATTACCAACGACAACCTTCAAATATGTATTACAAAATCGAATTTTACAGCTTTACTGCTGATATTAACCAGACAAATTTGTATTTGATTAACAAAGTTACAACACAAATGAGTGCGTTTTTTCTTATCAATTTTCCACTGATTCGGCTTCTAGGAATGGCAGAAAGAATTTCCCCTGAAGTGGTGTCATATGGGAACTCCAGTGCTATATGAATTTCCAGTTATTTAAGAGTTTATGGTAAGAGCGTATTTTTTATTATTTCAAAAAGAAGCCGCCGCTTCACCTCACTCGTTTCCTGTCCAGCTTCGGTTATCATTTTGTGGCAGTGGCACCCACTCCGCCTCGGGGCTTTTGGAGTAGGCTGATTTGCAGGAAATCTTAAATTCTCATAAAACTTAAGTGCATCGTAAATTGGCGTATGAGTAACGAGCTCAGCATATCTGCGGCTATCGGACTATCTGACTATTTCCGTCTCCGTCTGCGCCTCGAGGCACCGATTTTCCACTTTTATTCTCCGGTTCATCTGCCTCAGCAGCTCCCTCCCCATTTCGATCTCAACTTTCGCCACTCAAAGTCTGTTATTAATAATATTCCATTTCGATTTGTTCTACATTTTCCGCGTGCTCACTTTTTATGTGAAATTAATTTGCCACATTTTCGCCATTAATTAATTAATTGAATGTTTGAAATGTTTACAAGTAGTTTGCTGTGCTTTTTGGCTACACTTGAGGCATTTGTTTGGATCCCACGAATCTGTGGCTGCGGCTGGCCAATTTTTATCTATTTATCTCCCGCTGTTTTATTTCGATATTTGACGTAGTTTTCGGCTTGATTAAAATATCATTTGGCGATTGACGGAAAACTAGTCTGGATTGGAATTTAATTGGGTGGTCTGGGTGTGGGAAAGTTTTTATTTTGCTTTGGGAATAGGTTGTATGTAAATTTTTAGAAAAGACTTTTTTGGTTTTAGTAAAAATTTGTTTAAATTAATTTAGAAAAGGCCAAGTAATAAATTAAACAAATAAAATAAATTTTTGACTAGGTTCTATATATTCCGACTTTCTGACTATGAACCATTTTTGCTAAGTTTCTTAAGCCATTTGATCAAAAGTCATAAGAACTTTTGTATACACGAATACACAAACTAAAACTTATTGTAAATGACACATGTCGATCTGTAGATCTATTCCCTAATAGCTCTTTTGAGACCTTTGTAATGCCCCGGCCAACACCCTCGGGGTCTTCAATTACAGCTCAAAGCCCATGTAAGTCGTCATGTAAGCCTTGTATTGTTATCACATCCGATTTATACGGCAAGTGCAATGCAAAGCGCATTAGGCCAAAGCCCACAACACATGACTCTCCCCAAAGACTCTCTTGCCCATTTCAGGTTTGGATAATGTATGTCGTCTTAGCCATTGAAAACATTGAGGAATTACAAGCCGTAAGCCCCAAAGAGAGTGGGAGCTAGAGGGAAACTTGGAAACTCGGAGATAATCCTTTTGACAAAACGTTTACGGGGCAAAATGGACAGACAATTAGCAGGGAAAATGGCTAAAACAATTAGTTCGGCAGGGAGGAAGCAAGCACTTTAATATCACAAATTTTAGCCCACAGCTAAATACACTCGCATGCTGGAGATATAGATTCGTATCTTTCAGATACAATGTAGTCGAGAGCTATTAAAATGGCCACAAAGCAAAACAAACTGTGAAGAGTTGGTGGTTAGGCCAAAATAACAAATTGATGGACAGACGGACGGATGTGTGCCAGCAAACATGTGGGAGGGGGAGGGAAGATAGCGCCGTAAAACAAAAGTGTTGATGGATATTTTCCTCGTGCGATGATGACGCTGAAGTTGTGTGTTTCTGCTGCTGCTTTGAGTGCTCTTTTTCACCCGCTTCTCCCTCATTTTTCCTGTGCATTTGTGGAGATTCATCAAATTTTCAGAAACGTAAAATATTCAACACACACACACATACACGAACACAGGTACCCTGGCAAAGCACATATATAAATCCCTTTGTGCTGCGGCAAAAGCATTTTATGGACTTTACAGTTTTTAGTTGCTGCTGATGATGATGATGTTGCTGCTGGCCCCAAACAGCATAGCAAATGTGCAACAGCAACAGGAGGCAGAGGAAGCAACTGCAACAGCAGTCAGCGATTGAAAGCAGTTCGAGAAACTCAAAAAATGCACAGTACAAAAATCCTTTTTAAATAAACTCTATAGTGTTTTAAAAAAATGTATACTGAAATGTATTATTTAATTTAATTATTATTTATTAATATAAATTAACATTAACATTTTAAAAATATATTTAATAATATTTAACTAATTTCAAATCCAAACCACACTTTTCTCCGTGTAGAAGAGGATAAAACTGAAATCAACCCGGACAGGCACCCATAAAATCTTTTTTAAAGTAGCATAAGCATATCGAAAGCTGAAAATGCTCTCTCGACTTGAACTTTTTTATGGACTTTTTACCATTTGCATTTTATTGCCAAAACATAAATGCAGCTGCCAGCCACGCACAGTTTTTACCCATACCCATACCCATTCCATTCCTGCTTCTCAAAAATGCATTGCTTATTTTTAAAACATTTGACTTGCATTCGGATTGGGCTACCAACTCTCCAAGTCGATTTCTTTTCTGGGTGGCGAGCAAATGTTTGTTTGTTTGCTGGTCGCCTTTTGTTTTGGTTTCCTCTGTTTGCTTTTGGCGTAGCTGTCGCATAATTCACCCCCGGCCGAAACGTTCAATTAAAAGGCAAGTGCAAATACTGTAACCCAATCGGATCGGAAAATTGATGAACTTAAGCAAAACGCGACGCGGTCGGTTGGCTTTAATTGATAGCTGGCAAATGAAGCAGAAGGCGCTGCTTTGGGGATTCTCTGATTTTCTGTGCTTTTTTGTTTGCTTGCTTGCTTGCCTAGCAAGAATGGGGCCAATGAGGCGTCATTTCTATGGGCAATTTGCTGAGAGACAAGCAGTTTTCTTAAATACTATATGAGCACAAGCAATCGTTAATAGCGGCGATCATTAAGCCGATTTGCCTCGTGAATATTCGAAAAATATCTCTTTCTATACACAGAAAAACGTACATAAAATGTCCAATATACGATAATTTAAAATAGAAAATTCAAATAAAAAATTTTAAATAATATTCCTTATTTTAAAAATTCCTAAAAAAAATAATTTTTTATAAAATATTTACAGTATGAAAATATATTTTCTCTGTGCACAACACGTTGTGAAACTCTTAGGAAGGTTTAAATTTCCGCTGAACCCATTAATTGCCATAACTCTTTTTCAATAATTCATGCGGACCCCATTTGTTTGGCTTAACAGCTTAACAGTGTCGTCTCCTTTTGTCATTCGTTGGATCTCTTAAAATCTTCCACCGAGTCCGCTTCCTGCACCTGTCAGCTTATTTATTCATTCGTTTTATGGCACACGAAACACACTTCAAAATGTGTTGTAAATATTGCGCTAAGCCGCCAAATTGCAAGCGGTAAAGGCGGTAAAAGCAGCCAACAGCAACAATTGCTGTCAGCAAAAATAAAAAACGAAAAGGGAAGCCAATTGCAAGCGCGAAAACCGCAAGACAAACGTCCGCCCCTTCGGGAGAAATCCCCTTACCGTTTATTTTCCCTCGGAGAAGGGATCTCTAAATGCTGATGTATGAGATGTTGTTGCTGCTGCCCAATTTCGGCAGCGTTAAAACATAAAATATGCTTC